ACTCGTCCTATGCCAGTTACAATAGCGGCACCACAAACTTTCCCAACGTGGCTCAAAATATATCGTCATCCTCTCAGGTATAATTATAACATAATTGTAACATTCTCGCCAGAACCTCCTTTACGGTTCCATTCATTTTTGTCCGTTTGATTTTTCAGAAGCTAGACTACGGCGCCTACAGTAGCAGTTTATACGGAAATAACAGGGTACCATTACAGTATTCCGGATATTACCCCATGCACGGCTACCACGCAACACCCGCCTCGTTTAATATTGGAAACTTGAATTTTGCTGGTAAACGTTATCATCGACTTGTTTCCACTTTCTACGACTTGGTTCCTTTTGCCGTCAAGAATTTCGAAATTTGACGTGTCACGAAGCTGGTTTCTTCGACGCCAGAACGAGCAGCCGGGTCAAAAATGACCCATTGGCAACTTTCCAAAAGTGAACTTTCATGTAACTAAAACACCTGATTGAAAAATATGATTCGTATCGGTGCATATAGAATGTATACGTGCAGAAAATAAAGTCGGAAAGTTGCAAACGATGATAGTTAACAGTATTGAACATTAAATTTTTTTTTGGAAAGATGCTAATGGATGATTTTGACACAACTGGTGCTTCTGGTGTTAATTACTTCAATAGAAGGGAGACTGGTTTTGTGTATTGCTGCAGTACATGGTATGAGAACTGTTAGATCTCTTGTCTGTGTTGCGTAATTCATAGTGACTCATTAGGGAATGGAATAATTACCTTCTGGAGAGAAAATAATACAGTTTCTTCTTTTAACAAGTACTTAAAATTGTGAACATTTTGTTAAATGGAAATTGTCTTGAAACTTGCCTTTTTAATATTGAACACTTCAAATCTCAAATTTCTTGCTTGTAAAAAATTATACTTGATTTTTGATTTTGTACAGTTTTAAATTTTGATGGTGATATTTTTTATATGAGCCAGGGAATCGTTAAAATCGCCAATCGTGCTTATATGGCATACAAAATCGTCAGATTTATTTTCTACATCGAATTCGTTCTCTCCGGATTTCTGTAATGTTAAGAATTTTGTCATTTAACATTTTCGTTCGTTTATTTAACAAGCAAAGTTTTCCTGCGTTTATAACTGTACATTATTGCGAAAATTATGATTTGTTAGTAACAAGTTCCTTCTTTGTAAAAAGATTCGACAAAGTCTGCACTCACGTTGGACGCAACAACCCACGATGCCAGCGATCTTACCGCACGAGAAACCGCAAACATCGAAGGTAACACGATTCGTACGTGTGATTTTATATCTCCATTTTTGCCTCGATATACATTCTCCTTGAGTGTATTCAAACACTCGTCGAAAGCGTCTGCATTCAAAAAATAATTAATAAATAAACAGACTGCTTGAAAACTATAAAATTGTTTTGTATAGGGTGATACCTGAGAATTTATAGATATATTCCATAATTCAAAAGTGACATCTGTAAATACTTGATCTTCTTAATTGATATAAATTGAATTTGTACAATATGATATTGAAATTACATAAATACGGGCATAAATAATACTTAGGAAAATATTTCTTTCAATCTGATTATGGTTCCTTGTTCGTTAATCATGTGAAAGGTCGACTGACATCTTCCTCGCAAGCATTTACCAATTTATTTTTACTCTCTGTATTAACAGAACGAGAGAGAATTAAATGCAAAAGTAAACAAAACATCAAATTAGCTTGTACCTTTTATGTTTTGCAATTTAATTTATCTTGCTAAATCTTGTAAATTTCTTGTAAAAAAGTACTGGTAAATATTTAAAATTCAGTTTTATACAATTTTTTGTTCTTCTTCTCTTGTTCATTTGTATTTCTTTTCGTAAAATATTTGTAAGAAATTTTATTCAGATAATGTTCGACGATTGTGTTTTCAGGTGCGACGGCGAAACCTTGCAGACGCGGAAGGCGCCAAAGCGGAAGTGGAAACAGTATAGGTTCTGCGGACACGACAGAAGCCGGTCCTGACCGGATATTCATCTGGGACCTGGACGAAACCATAGTTGTGTTTCACTCGTTGCTCAATGGACTATTTGCAACGAAGCACCGTAAGGATCCCACCCTTCTGGCCCAAGTGGCCTACAGAATGGAGGAGATGATATTTAATTTGGCCGATACTCACTTCTTTTTCAACGATGTCGAGGTAAACATGTAGTTCTCCCAGCACACAGGCTGTTTTGTAATTGATGGTACATCTGGAAACATGATTCTATTGAAAAAAATAAATCCAAAATGTACCTGAACAATTTTCATTGTTATTTTTCACAAGAATCATACTTCACACGGCTGTGTATATTCTATTCTCCATTTTTTACATATAATATTATCATGTACCGTTAATTATGAAACACTTTTAATTTTTATCCTTTGATACATTGAACATAATTGTGAGTAAATGGTACAATGTTCAAACTTCTCTATCAAATGGTATTAGCAGTAAAGTTTAACTGCGTTTTATTATTTTACTTTTATATTTTCTGCTAAATATACACAAGCACATTTATAAATACTTCCTCTTATTTTCATATTTGATTCATTCTTTAAAAAGTTCTAATTAAATGTTGAACTTTCTGATAATACATACATGTCTTTTTGATTTCTCCAACGTATAATTGCCGGTAAAACCTGAAAAAAATTAATTTTAGTAAAGATGTAATGCTCTGTGTAAAGAATAAATTTTGTTACTTTAATTTGTAGGATTGTGACCAAGTGCACATTGACGATGTATCATCAGACGATAACGGGCAGGACCTGTCTTCTTACAACTTTGCTAACGATGGCTTCCAATGCGCGTCTGCTAACAACGGTATATGCTTAGCTTCCGGTGTCAGAGGCGGTGTCGATTGGATGCGAAAATTGGCCTTTCGCTATCGAAAAATCAAAGAGATCTACAATAATTACCGAAACAACGTTGGTGGCTTATTAGGCGCGGCGAAGCAAGAACAATGGTTACAATTGCGTTCGGAGATCGAAGTATTGACCGATAACTGGTTAACATCCGCTGTAAAATGTTTGAGTCTCATAAATAAAAGAAGTCACTGTATTAACATTCTCGTCACTACTACACAGTTAGTACCGGCTTTGTCGAAAGTACTGCTTTTCGGAATTGGTGGAATATTTCCAATCGAGAATATTTATTCTGCTTCGAAAATTGGTAAGCTTTGCAAAAAGTCTGTGTATTAAAATGGTGTAGCAAAATATTCGATAAAATATTATTAATAATATAATTCATGTAGTAATAGTACTGTTATTTCAGGAAAAGAAAGCTGCTTCGGAAGGGTGATCGCACGGTTTGGTCGGAGATGTACGTATGTAGTGATAGGCGACGATTCCGATGAAGAAACAGCAGCACGTGCCCATAATTTTCCATTCTGGAGAATAAACAGTCACTCGGACACGCAGTCGTTGTATAACGCCTTAGAGATGGGTTTTCTTTGAACAAGATACATTTACAAAGGGGTTAGGATTAGGGGGGGAAAATACGAGAAAGTGTATATCCAAACGAGAAACATCTTACAAAAAGAACTTACAGCTGGTCTCCTGGGGGTTTTATTAAAATTTGGAAGAGTGAATCACGTTTCCAAATTTCATGAAAATCACCGAGGAATCAAATACAGTCTCCTTGTTAATTATGTGGAGACTTATACGAGATATTTCTATATTCTTTACTGTCAATAATGAAAGTAAAAAAGACGCTTTTATCGAGTGAACATTTTAAACATTCCTACTATTTATCGATTGTAATATGTAAATTGAGGATCGACTGTTCCTCTAAGATCGCCATATACGGTTTTATCGATCATGGCTATCTGTCGATCGTCAAATGCGACCTATCAGAGCAGGGTCTACAAGTGATATACAATGAAAGTAAAATAAAGTAACGAGAGAGAAGAAAAAACTTGAAAATTAAAGAGTTATATATGTATAATACGAATATTTCTAATTGATTCCTGCACACTTTCGACCATACTTGAAAGTGAATTCATTGACAGCTATGAGTATCTTTCGTGTACTTAAACGTGTTGCATTTCTTGCTCGACAAACGTGTACTATGTATGAAAACTAACATGGTCGAAAAGAAAAGAATTTGATTCGCAAGCGAGATGATGTTACGCGTAACTTCATTAGTTATAATATTTTGATCGGCGTATATATTTCGAAAGTTTAAGGAAATTTTATATGAATATTGTGATACGGTTTAATCCAATTATTTAATTATAGTGTGATCCCAGTAAGTGTAATAAATCATTGTCAAACGGATACTTTTCTGATATAGTAGTTCGTGAAATTTATAGTCCGTTTTTATTAGTTACATTATATAAGAATACTTGACTGAAATATCATGCATTCTTAACATTTATTATTTCTTCGTACATATTGCATACCGATAAGAATACTTAGGTACCTATATTTTTGAATCGTCCATATCATGGTGTGTTTTAGAAGCTTTTTTCAAATTTCAATTTTGAATTATCTTTAACCGGAAGTAGCACATTATAGATCATGAGTGTCATTGCAGTTTCTAGGGATGCGTGAATAATATTTTCAAGGTGTACGAGATTAGGTCGTATACTTAAAATGTTAATTATTAAAAGGAAGAAATAAGATTAGCGAATGATAACCAAAGTCGTTGCATAACTGTAAAATCGATTTATATGTTTTCGAAATGTATCGTATATTGATTAAGAAACCATTTGCCGAAAGAAGAACAACCAAACATGAATTTTACGCAAATCAATTATTTCTACAAAAAGTTCTTTTTCGGTAATTCATAATTATCTCTGTAAATCTTCAAATTTATTTATGTCTATTTTACGATACAGAATCATATCAATTATTTTGATCAATTAAACTTCTAACAGAAGTGCTATAATATGGAGATTATCCATTGCTTTGTAATATGATAATTAGAAATTTATTCTTAAAATTATAGACATTACATATGCTTTACGCGATTTAGTAGCACAAAATCTGCACAAGTTATAATATGATTAAAAACATAATGCTGAATGCATAAATATGTTTTTAAATAAAATTACTTTCTGCTGTATTATGTAATATGAAATTCGGCTAGGTGAAATGATGTAAAATATTAAATTTAAAATGTTAAGAAATGGGGATAAAGATTGCATTAGACAAATAATGAAATTTATTATTAAAATTATTTAACTTTTTGGAAAATAAGGATTCACTTTTTTTCAAATAAATGTATTTTTATGTTAAGTCGACATTGTATTACACTGATCGTACATGATAAGATGTGGATCTGTGTATTAAAATAGATTGACGGATGTAGAAGAAATAATGTAATATTATTATTACATAAAAATTTACATACAATCGAAAAATTACGAGATACAATTTTTCTTTGTTCTAAGCACTTTCACTTTAATTTCTGCAACATTCCTTTTAGTCGTACATTCGATTTTATATTGAACGCACAGTGATATAACTACTATATTTCAGTATCTGTATAATTTTATAACGATTTAAGAAATTGTATTACGCAAACTGTGCCTATTGAAATTACATATATTTTTGTAAGTAATTGTTATTATGATTCCAGTGTCATGCTTTCCAACACAGTAAACAATTGTTTAATATCTATATTGTAGACTTTTCTGTGTATAGCAAGACTACTAGCTAAGTTAAGATAAAAACGTGACATCGTTTATTTGTGTAACTGTTTATGTTTGTTTATGCTTTTCATACCGAGTAAACGACATTGCTTTGCGACTTAGTAAATCTCAATTACTTCGTAATTTGTTTCTACAACGTTGTATTAAATTTCTGTCAAAAACTCGTGGTATCTGTGTGTCCTTTGTTGTATGAATATTTTTAGTAATACTAACGAAGAGAAAAAATTATAAAAGCACTATTAAATGCTACGGATTTTCAATAAAAATTATTTTATTTATGTTTATACGATGTCAATTTTTATATGTTCTAAATGGAATCATGATTTATTTATTCAACATAACTCAACATAGTTTCAACGATTTATTTATATTTTTTTTTATTTACAGTATATTTCTGGGAATAGCCAAAAAATACAGTGCACGACAGTTTATTGCATTGTTTTCTTTAAAAAAAATATATATCTACCTTAAATTGTCAAGAACTTCTCTTGTATGTTTGTATTAAAAACATAAAAATAATATGATTTTTCTCTTACATAGTAACATATGTTGGAGCTGTTAATACACCACAGTTATTTTTCTCTTGAGACATAAGGATGTAGCCGTCGTTGCCCCAGTAGTTCGACCATGAATTTTTGATCAACCAGTAGTCTTTTCCATTCAAGCTACCATAACCGACAGCTAAAACTGCGTGATCCAATGACTTTTCCGTGTTTCCTATGAATAAAATATTATTTACATTTAAAACAGTTATTCTACAATCACTGCATAACTACAAAACGTTATTCACTCACCACAAGCTGAATCATAGTATACACCATTAGAGTAGAACGAAAATGTTTTGTGGGACGCATCAATCGCAACTGAAATTGGGCCATGTTTCGCCATAGCAACCTTCATTGCATTAATATCATTTGGTGTAACATTCACATAGCCAGTAATTTTGGCCGTTCTTGTAATGTTATTTACATGACAATAACCATCCTAAAAAAAAAAAACAACAGCAAACGTGTTGACTTTCAATTTATTTCATAAACCTAAATGGCTGTTATCAGTGAAATATTTATAATTTAAAATTTACTCACTTGACCAAGGTAACCACCATAATCATCTTCTGTGGGCAGACCTCCATGCTTTATTATCCACTGATAGGATCGGAAATCTTCACCACCATCGCAACCATTGTTTCCGAAACCCCATGAGCAATCAATAAGTGCCTACAGTTATGACATGTTATAAAAAATACTTTTTACTTATAACACATGTAATAATATTTCAAATCTTTTTACCTGTTGAGATAAACGCACTAAGTGACCATACTTCATGTAATACGCGCCTTCGACGGCACCAGTCGTACCAAAACTCCAACAGGAACCACAGACAGATTGATCTGTTCCATTCAAAGAATTTTTATTAATCTATAGTCTTTACAATCTTTTAAGCCAATGGAACACATACCTTTGACGGGAGTAACAGCACCATATAGCCTCCAATCTAACATGTCTGGGACTGTGGTCACTTCCTTCTCAGCATTATAAGGGAAAGGTTGTCCTCCATTATTACCTCCAGTATATTGCTTGCCGCGTAAAGCCTTTAATTCTAAATCAGTGCGATCTACCAAATGGTTAACATTTAATTGGTAACCCTTATTGGCTCGATTCATTGAATGGATATATCTGCAAATGTTTTATATTAGTCATTAAAAAGATAAATAAATAAAAATTATAATGTATAAATGTAATATGTACCTTAAGTTTTGCCTGAATACTTCTTTGCGCATCACATGATCTGTTTCATCTGCATATTCCTTGTTGTGGGTATTTTTGAAATTTTCAAACGCTTCGTTTACGTGCGCATCATAATTGTGTACGAATTCACGCATTGGATTGAATGTGTAAATGTGCTTATCTCCAGGTCCAGGGAAACCAATGCATGTCATATCTATTAACAATACACATTTTATAATTAAAATAGACTCTAATAAAATTTACATTAATGAATATAAAGAGTCTTATATACTTGTTGCAATGTCAAATACTTCTGAACTAGGTATCTCAGAGGAGTACCAATCATAATCCAAGTAGTAATGATCATAGTGAGATCCCAAGAGACTATTAAATCCTCTCATCTCATACCTTATAGGGATTGGTTCTTTAAAATTAGGTATTTTTGGGGATTTCTACAGATAATTTTAGAATAATTAAGTAAATAATGTCCATAACATAATGAAATTACCTAAAAACCAACAAAGTGTAATTATTTTACCTTATATCTTATCCAAAGAGTATATTTGTTCAATTTTTCACCAATTTGCTGTTCGAGTCTCCATTTTTCACATGGCAGTCCATTAAGCATTTCTTCTCCAATACACTAAATAAAATTTAATAAAGTTTTATAATAACAATTTAATTTAAATGTGTGTATAATATGTATAAAAGAATGTGAAAATATTGTTTTACCTCCATTCCAGTTGTGTCTGGAATGATTTCCTGAGGATGAATCTTCAATGTATTAGTACCATTTACTTGAAGACATGTTTCTGTATTCACAGCAGTTTCTGTGGTCACTGGAGCAATTTTTATACTTTGTCCATAAGATCCTTTATGTGATAATTGGAAAGTCTTCACCATTCCTAGTTCAATCAAGCTTTTGTTTTATTCTTTACTCAAAAATGTTCATAATCACATAATGTAATTTAATTTATGTTCAAATTACCTCCATAGTAATCAATTCTACTAGATCCACTTGTACCATCATACCATGCATAAAATGGTTCACGTATTTCGGCATATGGGATATAAAGAGTTCCTTTTACTGTATAAGTTTTGCTAAATGTTGGAGACTTTGTAGCTATAATGCAGGAAATACCTAATAAAAAGAGCAAATATCTGCATTTATCAACATATTCTGGTTATTAGAAATAAATATAAAACTGTTAATAAAAATAATCTTACCTAACACTATGAAGATAAAAGCATTTGTAAAAATATGCATTTTTATGTTTCTGTAACAGAAACAATGAGAACATTGTCTATTAGATTAGATATTGCAGTTGGCATTTGTGATAACATTATGACCCAACTTAAAAACAATACTACTGATTAATGTACTACTAATAGTAAAGCAATTTATTTTTATATACAACATATTGAGTATAAAAATTTATCAGTCATTAGTTACTTTAAAATAACTTTAAAAAAGTTTATTATTCAGAAATATAAAAAGACAATAGTCAGAAAAGTTAAAAGCCATAATTTAAAAATCAACCAATAAACGTCGAAATAATAATGATTATAAAATTTTTTTATGTATTTATAGTACAAGAAAATTGCATTTTTACAAGTATTTAAAGTCTAAACGTTTAATTATAAAAAAAATATAAAATTTCAAATATTCATAATTTATTAATCAGTCGGAATAATTGATGAAAAGAGAATTGTACATTACCAAGAGAAATTCCACAAAAGAGAAACTTAATTACAAAGAAAATCTAATTAGATATATTCCTACTTACTGTAGTTGAATCATACACTGGTTTCTTTAAGTGTCCTAAATCAACTGAAATATCGAACGTTGACGAATGTTCCTAAGAGAACAAGTTTTTTAAGCACTTTTTTTATAACATTACAGTCACCTCAAAGTCCTCAGACGTAATTACAAATACGAAATCACAGCAGACTTTGTGAACTGTCGAACTTATATATACGACCGTAAACTGATAAGAATGCTACCGCCAAGTGAAACGGGATGGAGTGCAATATTTTCCGCTCGGTGTGAATGCACGTTTCTGTGACAACGTATATATTAATCATTCGGTAAATATACGGTTCATATCATGCTCAATACTTTCTTTAAAGTGCAACTAATCAACTTTTTAGTTCATAACACATCCGCGATTGACTTTACAGTGCATTAGAAAAAGATGCAATGAAAATGATACCCAAATTCTGTATCGTCTAATAAACAAAACTGTTAGATTTATCTTTACGATTTGTATAACTCTCCAACATTTTTTTGATGTATTATAAAGTATGTCATCCTATGTTAAACATTTGTACTTTGTACAGAAGATTCAATAAACGTAATATAATAAATCACAATGTAAATATTATTAATATTGAAAAAATATTGTGAATAAAAAACGAGAGAGAGAGAGAGGAGTGGGACAGAGAGAAACAATGTGTATACTGTTTCATACAAGTACATAAAATTAAGTGAATTTATTTATTTATTTTAACGCATTTACATTAAATTCCATATTTCTTATATTCCACTTAAAAAATGAAATTGTTGACCTTGAAATAAAATCAAATTGTTCATATTGCATAGTGTCTGGTAACTTATGCAATAATCATTTAAACAATGTTTAACTGAAGCCAATATTTATAATTGTTCAAGTGGTTTAAATTCAGAGGATTTCCTTCTGCATGAATGCTTAAATACATGTATATTACCACGAAAGCTGGTAAAAAGGAACGAAGACCACATTTATAAACATGATTCTAATTCAACAGACACAGTGAATGGAATAATGAAGTACTTTGACTTTGCTTTTCATATTTTATTTTATATATTTGAAAAAATTATAGGTTTTTAAGAAAAAATATATTTTCTGACAGCAACAATGTTTGGGAAAAACAGCTTCGCATATTCAACTACGATGTCCGCGTTTATCATTTCTGTTAAATTACCAACAGAATGAGTCAGCCTCATGGTCGAAAAAATACCGTTAGAAATCTGAAGAACTCTTATTTTGTAACATGAAATGTATTAGAAATACATTAACACAGTAATGTGTTATAAATGAAAAAAAAAATTTTAAACAATTAAAATAGAAGATTGGTCTAAATAAATATAAATTGATATTTCATATTTTATTATTACCTTAATCTTTGTGTCATAATAAAAATTTAAATATAGTTTAATAAATGTATATAGTAGTTTAAAAATTACTATATAGAGTTACAGTGGAAATATCACATAAATTATCTTCGATATTTATTAAGTTCAAATAATTTTATAATTTTTCAAAGTTTTTTCTTTAATTATGCAAAATGATTGTAACCCGTAAATGATAATGCTTTTTGTATTTAGTAGTCGCGAAATAAACAGCCTTACTTTTTAATTTCATCAATCGCAAATAATATGCACCACATTCTGCAAAATTAGCAGAAATACAAGATAAGTGCTTTGTTCGTGCATATTCTTACACATCAGTATTGCTTTACGTATTGATAATTAGTTATTTATAGGTGTATATGGCGACAATCTTATATTGACGATCAAATGTTTTCAGTGGTGATATAATTCCTAAACATTGAATATTAATTTTACTTGTGTATTAAATTAAATATTCATCGATCGATATTTATGTTACATATTTCAATCAATGCTTCAACGTACTAAAGTTATTCAATTATACAAGACGGTATGAAATTTACTTTAATTTATTTAAAAATAAACAATTTTAAAATAATCTAATGACCATACGATACATAAAATGTAACGAAGTAATGAAATTATTTGTTTATTTCATTATTGTAAACATAAATTTTATTTTAATATGATATTTTTTAGCTCCTGTACATGGGTCGTGACTATCCAAGAGGTTATGAATTTTTCAGAAAAAATTTAAAGAAAGCTTTTGAAAAGAATAAAGGAGAACGTAATCCGGAAACAATTGATAAAATGTTGGCACATGGGAATTTTGTTATTAAAGAATTGGAAGCTTTGTACAGG